AAAATGCTAGATTTGTTGAAAATGTTGAAACCAGTAGGAGTGTGAAACCACGCAAAGTGAAACTTTAAAAAGTTAGGATGCAAATCCTTTTACCTATAACTTTTTCTCAAATTGTTATTCCTACAATTGTTAAACAGTTTAACAATTTACAAGAATAACAAATAAATGATCAAACACTTTATAATGAAATTGTTTTCAATGAACCTACAATGGATGAACCACATGAGGTAGCATTAAGAATGTTTTAAAAACAAAAGAGATCTACTATTTTTGATGAATATGTGGTTTATCTACAAGAGTTAGAATTTAACTTAAGAATTGACGAAGATTTAGTTTCATTTTCACAAGGTATAGAAAGTATTAATTCTAGCAAATGGTTAGATATTATGAAAGAAAAGTTGAAATCAATGGATCATAATGATGTTTAGGATCTTATTAAATTCTCTAAAGGTTGTAAAAAAATTAGGTGTAAATGGGTCTTTAAGACCAAACATGACTCAAATGGTTATATTGAATGATCAAAAGGTAGAATTGTTGCCAAACATTTTACTCAAAAAGATGGCATTGACAATAAAGAGACCTTTTTTTTTAATTTTTAAAAATGACTCATTTAGAATTATTATAACAATAATTGCTCATTATGACTTAGAGTTACATTAAATGGATGTGAAAACAGCTTTTCTTAATGAAAATAAAGAGGAAGAAGTTTACATAAACCAACCCAAATGTTTTTCAATTAAAGAAAATGAATACATGGTGTGTAAACTTAAGAAGTCAATATATGAACTTAAATAAACTTTCTGACAATGATACTATTACTTTATTTGGAGGAAAACTCTATTGATCGGTATATATATTTGAAGGTTAGTTAGAGTAAGTTTATATTTTTAATTTGTATGTTGATGATATTTTACTCGCTACTAATGATCTTGGCTTATTACATAAGACCAACAATTTTTTTTCTAAGAATTTTAAAATGAAAGATATGGGTGAGGGCATTTATGTAATTGAAATTAAAATATTTCGTAATAGATCACAAGGATTGTTAGGATTATTTCAGAAAACACATATTAATAGAATTCTAGAAAGATTTAAAATGAAAAATTGATCTGCAAGTGTTGTTTCAATTTAAAAAAAGATAAATTTAGCCTTATGCAATGCTTAAAGAATGAATTAGAACATAAATAAATGAAACAAATTTCTTATGCATCTATTATTAGAAGCTTGATGTCTGCCCAAACTTGTATTAGACTAAACATTAGTTTTGGTGTCGAAATACTATGCAAGTATCAAAGTAATCCAGAATTAGATCATTTGAAAGTTGCAAAGAAAGTATTAAGATACTTACAAAGAATGAAAGATCGCATGCTTACTTATAGGCAGTCCAATCATCTTAAGGTGATAGGATATTTAGATTCAGATTTTGCTAGGTGTGTGGATGCCAGAAAATCATATTTGGCTATTTGTTTCTTTTAACTGGTGGAGCAATCTCATGAAAAAGTGTGAAGCAATTTGTCATTACTACATCCACTATGAAAATTGAGTTTATGGCATACTTTGAAGCGTCTGTTGATGGTTTATGACTGCAAAACTTTATTTCAAGCCTTGGAATTATCGACATATTGTCAAGTCACTGAAAATTTATTATGATAATATCACAGCAGTCTTTTTTTATAAAAACAACAAGTATTTAAAATGTACTAAATACATAAAATTAAAATATTTTACCGTTAAAGAATAAGTCCAAAAATAAAAAATGTTAATTAAACACATTAACACCATTCTTATAGTTGCAAATCCATTAACAAAAGGTTTGCTACCAAAGACATTTAATAAACATGTAAAAAAAAATGAGTATTATTGAAAACCATTATTTACATTATGTTAAAGTTTTATGTCATTATGAATTTGAGACTCTAAGCTCTTTTAAGTACTATTTCTGACATATTAATGCATCATATTCCATTATCTTAGTATATATACATGATTGAATTATGCGAATATGAATAAGATTTATCTTTAATGAAGACATTATTGAACATTATGGCATCTCTGTTAAAGGTCATGTTGAGTATAAAACTAATAATATGATACATAAAAGAAATTATGCTAAGTTAATGACATATAATCACTATGATCTTTATTAGTTTTTTCTCAATGATGATTTATGGTTTAAGAAATGACTTAGCTGGTATTATACACATTATTATTTATTATTAAACCATAAAGTTTAACAATTCCATGTAGGCTAAGTGAGAGAATATTAGATATTATGTGGCCTACATGACCATTACCTAACTTAAAAAGCTTCTTTATTTATTTATGGTTTAATGACTTAAGAAAATAAGTTAAGTTAATTATTATAGCTTAATAAGTATTGAATTTATTAAACTTGATAATTAAAACAAAGATTTTATTTAATTAATGTAAACAGAACTTTTTCTTAATCAACGTGATTAAACTAAAAGAGTTTTAATTATAATGAATAAAAGTTTTGTTTTATGAAAGACTGAATGCAATGCAAAAAAAAAAAAAATTTGTTTATAACTCATACGTTGATAGAACGTACGAATTAAATGCAATTAACGAATGAAAGAGATCATTTCACTTTCTTTGCCCATAAATTGATACATTCTATCCATAAAAAAGTGTGTTAAGTTAAAGAGTTGAGAGAGAAAAAAAATTATAAAACATCATTTCTATATAAAAAAAATTATAAATCAATGTATAATTTCTCTTCAATTAGAAAATTGTGAAAATCATCTTGTTCTAAGACGTTAGGCATTAAAACTATATAAAATTAATATTTGGTTTGTATAATAAAAGAAAATCCAATAAACTCAACTCGCATATCTATAAAATTGTAACCAATCCGACTCAATTCGAAATTAGTTTAACAATTTTAATTTAATATAATATTCATAAAGTATTAATTTTTAATATAAATTATATCTTGATTATATATAAATATAGTATTTTTATTAAGTTAATATCTTAAATTAGAGTATTGCATAATAATTTTACCAATATAATACATATATATAAATATAAAGTTAAATAAATAATAATAAATATTTATATATATATCATATCATGTCAGGACGGATTTACTTAAAACCTTTCCTCTACTTTATTTCAAAAAACTTGACCCGACCTAAAACTTAATTTTCAAAATACAATCGATCTTATAAAATTGAGTCAGGTAAAAATCTAATAAATTCTAGTATTATTGCCAAACCTAGAGAAAATATCTATGAAAAATTAATTCTAAAATTAATATTGGTTTTTCCTTTTCATATTGTAAATTTTATCCTAGAAACATTTACTGATTTCCTTAAAATAAGGTAAATCAAAATTTTTTTTATTATAATCCAATTATAGTTTTGATTGGAAGGGCACTAATGAAATTAATATATAATAAAATTATATTTTTAATTTTCTTACCCATGCATAGCATGATATTAAAATTATTAAATATATAAAAGTCAAAATTTTTAATAAAAAAATTCAATATAAATAATCTATTTTTTGATACATGGATTGTCTAACTTGATATCATGTGTATATTAATTAATGCAAATTTAACTTTTATTTTTAAAATACTTAATAGCTAACAAAACCAATTAAATTTTTATATGTAAATCGGCTTGCAAAATTTTTGAAATCAAATTATTATTAAATTCACTAAGAATAAGATTTTGAATTTAAATTCATATCACATGGTCTAATTCCAAGCTTGAATATCTTTTACTATTGGCAATATTAATGAAAAATATATGATATTTAATGATAAATTTTCAATTTCAAAACATAAAAGAGTAAATTATTACTTTCCAAAAATTAATGCAAATCATATAGACTTGATTTTATAAATATCACATTTCGTTTTTGTTTATGTCACAAATTTAAAAGAGACATGAGATAACTTAAATAATATTTTTATTTATCTTATATAAATCAATTTGTAATTAAAATTTGTTCTCTTATCATTATTTATCTTAAATCACTCTTAATTTTTAAAATCTAACTTCATTATAAATAGAACTAACTTTTGGTGTGTTAGAATATTGGTTCAATAATAAAGATAAAGTCTTAGTACAAATAAAGGGGAGGGAGGATGCCTGATTCGAAATCAGGCCTTTGATGTCCCCTTAAATACCTTTAGCCATTAAGTCAAAGGCTTGGGGACATTTTAAAAATTTATACATAGATGTTATGTATTTTATATTACTTTTTATCATTGCCTCGGTTACAAGTAGAATTCTTTTAATGTTTTATATTCAAACTAGAAATTCATACTATTTTAACTGCCAATGAAGCCTAACAAATGAAATATCAATGCTAAAATGAGCATGTATATTGGGAGAATCATGCCCAATTTAAAAAAAAAAAACAATAATTTTTTTTGTCTTTTTTAAGACATTTCGCTCTTCTCTAGATTCTATCTACCCAATGCATCTACAACAATATATGGGGGAGGTTTTTGTTTGAAGGCAAATATCTAAACAACTAAATAATTAGTTTTTAGTTTTATGCATAGATGTATGTATACTATGCTAAGAATATTTGTTACACAACTTTGTTTGCCTAATTAAAATATTTGACCTATCTAAATGCTAATAAAACTTTAATAAACTGTAATGTTTACAAAGTGGTTTCCATCCCAAATTGAAGATTTACAGGATGGAATACGACTCAGTCACGGCAATATTTAAGAAACAACATGATTGGATTGGTCCTCAGACGATATCCATGAAGAAATGAATGCAAAAATTGACTGAGAAGGGACAGATGCCTTGGAAATTGAGAGCAGAACGTGAAGCCATGTGTGGGACAACTACTGACACCCTATCACAACTCTCCGCATAAAACTCTGGACGCCCCCACACTTCTTATTCATTGAATGGTTTTGTGCTGTTTCAGACTTTCAGTTCTGGTTTTCCAGTTTTTTTTTTTTTTGTCAGAATTTCCAAAATCACATGAATAACATCTAAAATCATATTCCAAGAAAAATACAACATCATGAGGTCGTGGGCAAAATAATTTAGGGTACAAGTACTGTACTAAGAAGAACCAAGAAGCATTGCGAATGAACATACAGAGCCACTGATACCATAATTTACAACTTCTTATCTCCCATCTGCCGATGTAAATGACTCAGCAAATCCATAAGGCCGCGTGGGAATGCTGGTTTGAGTGTTGTCTAAGCTGGGAAGAAGTGAAGAAGATGAAGATTCCAAATTGCTTCTTCCTTCATAATCTTGCCACTTCTTTAATGCTTGTGGCAGTGACATTTCAAGGTCAATGCCATATATATCTTCAGAACATTGATCAGTTGGTTTCCAAAGCTCCACTAGAGAACATAGCACATTCACAGCATGACCCATATCAGGCCTTTGATATGGTTCCCTTGCACAGCAATGACCTGCCAACTCTGCAACGGTGCTGATACTGGCAAGTGTTTCCTCATTGAGGTCGATTGTGTGGTCAATGGCTTTGCGGAAGGGTTCCTTGTTGATGTGCATTCTCTTGAACCATGTAACTAGGTGCATGCTTTCCTCAGGTTGGCTCTCATCAAGTGCTCTTCTGCCAGTGATTAGCTCCATCAATATCACCCCAAAGCTAAATACATCAACTTTTGTTGTAACTCGTCCTGTAACTGCACTCAGTATTCAAACAACAAAATTGCATTTATTTTTATTAAGAAGAAAATAAATGAAATTAAAGAGAAAAACCAATAAACAAAAGATACCAGCATATTCTGGTGCCAAGTATCCAAAGGTTCCAGCAATTCTAGTTTCAATCGAGCCTTTACCCTCAGGAGCAAGACGCACAAGACCAAAATCAGCTACCTTAGCCCTCATATCGTCTCCTAGTAGAATGTTTGAAGGCTTCAAGTCTCTATGTATAAAACTTTGATGGGCCAAACCGTGAAGATACTCAACACCCCTTGCCACATCTAAGGCAATGGTCAACCTTTTTGTCCATTCAAGTGGTTTTAATCCTTCTTCTGCCCAGTTAAATATATGTCTACTTAGAGTACCTTGGTTCATGTATTCATACACAAGAAGCTTTTCATTCCCATCCAGGCAATAGCCGAGAAGAGCAACAAGATGCCGATGCCGAACCTTTGTCAATACGGCAATCTCAGACTTAAATTCTGCTAAACCCTTCCCAGTAATAACCCCAGATTCCATTCTCTTCACAGCGATCTTTGTACCATCATGCAACTCACCGTTATATACCACACCAAAACCCCCTAGTCCCAATATATTTTCTTCACTGAAATTGTTGGTCACATTCCTTAGAACTTGGATAGAGATCACCATGTTTCCTGCCTCAACCATTTGTATGTCACCAGGCTCACTGCTCGGAATCGTATGAGTTTCACTGACAGCACCAACACTAACACTTGAGCCAGCAACCGTAATCTTAACACTTTCGTTATCTGAGCCAGAATGGCGAGGGTGAATTACCATTGCATTTGGGCTCTGTACTCTGCTAAACCGTTTCTGTTTCTTTTTGTAAAGACAGAAAACCAACAAACCAAGCAAGCCAACAACTGCCAGACCCCCAAACACAGAAACTATAATGATTACAATCAAAGATGAAGATTTCTTGCCACTATTTCCAGAACTTCCACTACTGTTAGATCCTGTGCCTGCATTGGGATTGCCAGATTCTGAACCTGGAGAAGTATAACTACTTTTGTCCTTGCCTATGTCAGGATTACCATTTGTATCCAAAATGACAATGCTTTTGAAAGTAGGGATTTTCCCATAAAGTTGATTGTTTGACACATCAAGTTCTTTAAGTGCAACCAGAGTAGTAAGCTCCTCAGGAATAGGACCAGTCAGATTATTGTCAGCAAGAATCAGCCTCTGCAAAGACTTAAGTGATGCAAAATCAGGAGAGATTTTACCTATAAGGCCCATCTTTGCAAAATTTACAACAGTAATGTTCCCATTACTACAGGTAATCCCAAGCCAATCCGCACATGGGTCATTCCCCTTCCAATTTTCAGCAAGCTTTTGTGGATAATCCGTCGACTTCACAACAGTAAGCAACATATTGACCCTCGGATCACAGTCACCAGGACTTGGCAAACAAAAGCTATTCGAATCCTTAACCATATCCACAGAAACGGAATTCTTAAACTCGGGCATTGGTCCTTGAAGTAAATTATTTGTCAAATTTAGAGTTTTTAGTGATTCAAGCTTCACCAGAGAAACGGGAACAGGGCCAGTAAAAGAGTTATCCCTCAGACTCAGACTCTGCAAGTCTTTCAAACCGGAGAAGTCTGGTAAAGGACCAGAAAATGAATTGGAATGTAACCAAATCTCTTTCAAGAATGTCATGTTCTGTATTACAGCAATGCTACCGGTAAGTTTACCATTACTTTCCTGCCCATTAACCCACAAAGACTGGATTGATGACCCAGAAAAGCTGGAGGGTAGCTCTCCTTCTTGACTATTGAAGGCTAAATGCAAAATGGTTAGACCTGGAAACTCATTGGGTCCAAAAATGTCTGGTATTTTGCCGATAATGTTAGCCGAGTTGGCTGAGAAATTCTGCAAAGCAGAAGCATTTTTCAAACTTTGAGGGATTTCCCAAGGAGAAAAAGGGATGTTATCAATCTCCACAGATTGAAGAGAAGATAAACCAGAAAAGAAATCAATGGGAAATGAAGTGAAGAGATTATTACTTAGCATAACAACTTGCAGTGAGCTTAACCCATTTAAGCTAGGGAGGGGACCTGAAATGTTGTTCCATTGTAGCTCTAATCGCTCTAGTTGAGTCAGGTTTTGAAGATTTGAAGGAAGTGTACCTTGCAGGTTCTGGTGACCAATTTGGATCCGAGTGACCCGCTTGTCCTGTGAGCAGACAACGTGGTTCCAGTTGCAGGGATCGGGGTCGGACCATCCGAGAGATTCGGGTGGGCTAAGAGTCTTCCTGAGGGCTAACATGGTTGCAGCATCATCACTTGCGCTTGTCTGGGATTTTACTGAGACGAAAATTGAAGACAATCCAAGAATAAAGGCAAAAAGCTTGAAGCAGCAACCAACTCCGTTTTTCTTCTTCATATTGACTACGATGAAATGTAAAGCTTTTTTTTCTTTTTGGTAAAGATGCAGCAAAGAGTTGGAACTTTGTTTTGAAGGCATTAGATGGATAGAGCAACCATATTCGAAAAGTAGAACAAAAGGCAAAAAGAAGGATAGAGAAGAAAGAGAGAAAGGTTGAGAGTTGACAGGAAGATAGAGAGAAATTAAGGGTGGAATTGGTGAATGATGAGAGAATGGAGCAAGTAGAAAGGAAAGAAGCAGCACATGGAGATAGTCTGTCATAAGTATGTTGAAAGGCTGGCTGGCAGGCAGGCAGGCAGGCTTTTAGCCTGCTTTCGGGTTGGTAATCTGGGATTCCTTTTCGCTACTCATTACACGCCAACTTGGCAACTGCCTTGCTTGGCTTTTCTTTTGTTTAAGAATTGTTACAAAGGGAAGCCGTTTTCTTTTCAACCGCAAAGCAACAAAGCCATGCACGTGGCTGATGTCTCCCCCATTTCCCCTTCTTCGTAAACTGTTCCCCAAGATTTATTTAAATTTTTAGCCTTCGTCAGGCACTTTTGTTCTGGTCAACATGTCATGACTTGATTACGGTTCCTCAGCTTTGATGGTAATGATTAAAGAGCAAGCATACTTTTGTTATTTAAGTAATGATTAAAGAGCAAGCATACTTTTTTTATTTGATTGAATTTAGAGTTAATTTTTTAATTTTATAAACAAAATAAAAATTTTCACATGTATCACTTCTTAAAAAATATGTATCATCCATTAATCTCGTTTATAAAGTTTAAAAATATTTATTCTTATTTTAATTTACATTTTTTAAGCTTAGACATAATAGTATAGTAATATACATATTTTTATTATTAAATTATAATACTCCCATTCTTGAACAATAGTTTTTCTCTTTTTAATTTATAATTTTTTAAAAATTAAAAAAATTTAACTTTACAATTGCAAATCTTTAAATCTTTTTAAAAATCTTTGATTTTTTTTAAAAAAATTTAAATTTAATTGTAAATCTTTAAATTTTAAATTAAAAAAACCTTTTAATTCCAAATTTCAAACCTTTAAACTTTAAGTTGAGAAACCTTTAATTTCAAATTATAAATATTTTAATTTCCATTTGTAAATCTTTTACCTTTAGCATTGTTAATATTGCAAGTTTTTTTGCAAATTACGTATCTTTATTTTATACGAAAACCTTTATATTTTTTATTTTGAATCAGACCGAACATAATAAATATTTATATATACACTGCATTTGTTGAAAATTTTTTAGCTACGAAGAGTTTGGGTAATTTAATAAGATGTGGTTTCCGTAATTGGACCTTGGGTATTAAACCCAAGTCAAGTACTTAGCCCATTTTCTTTTATTTTTATGTCTTTTTGGTTATTATTTTATTTTCAGAATGTTAGAAAAAATTTTAAAAATGAAAAAACAGAAAATTCAAAAAAAATGGAGAATGAAATTCCTTTTTGATTTGAATTGATGATCGAAATTTCAGCAAAACAATAAACCTTTTTTAACTGAAACTCTTTTGGGGATTTAGAGTTCTCTTCAGATTGGGATTAATCCCTACATATATACATATATACATATATATATATATATATATATATAAACAATGTTTCTGGGTTGGGGCTGCTGAATTCTTCTTCGGTTCTGGGCTTGAGGTCAGAGAAAAGTAGGTCTAGAGTGAAGAAAAAGAGAATACGAGAGAAGTTGGAAAATTTAGTCTGAAGTGCTGCGTTTTGGAGAAGGGAAGAAGGGGATGCGCACTCTGCTTCGAGTCCCTGACTGACCGGATACCCTTGCAATCCAAATCCACCCTGTTTTCGTCTCTGCCAAAGACTTGCGGGTATGCCTGCTTTCTGATCTGATCCCGTAGCCAACAAGTGACTTGTTTTTGGGCTTGAACCAAATTTGATTTGGGCCCAGACTCAGTCTACCTCACATTGCTTTGGATTTGGGCTCGCCCTATTTCGATAAATTTTAGTTTCATTTGTTTTATTTTATTTTTAGTTACATATATTCTTTATATCAAGTACGAATATTAATTGGAAAAAATAAAGCTAATAAGATGTATTTTTATAAGATTAGATAATTGTAAAAAGTAGATTTTTATTATCTTTTATAAATTTAAAAAATAAGTAAAAATTCAACCATGATAAATTTTAACGAAGTCACAAGAGTATAATTTTCTTAAAAATTTTTAGATGATAAATTTTTTTTAATTCAATCAAAATGTGGAGAACTTAGAAAATGATATCGACACGAGATTTTTATTAAATTAATAATAAAAAAATAAAATTATAATTTTCTAACATTATATGTTGTAAGTTTTAATGACAATAATAATTTATTTTTATGTCATAAAATATTTAATATATTTAATGACGGAGTTTCTTCAAGGAAATAAGCGTGTTACTCGAATATTTTTTAGGTAAATTTTTTTTTTAAGGATTTAACCAAAGCATTGGAGAAAACCTACAGGATATTTTTTATATTTAAATGATAAAGTATTAACAAGAATAATAAAAAATAAGCTAAGGATAACAAGATAGTTAAAATTAATTAGTATCATTTTAATATCGGTATTGTGGAAATATTATAACTTTCTTTCCATGTAATTGAACTCTCGAATCTAATTATGTGATATAGATTAAAAAATACTCTTTCAGAGTTCTTTAGTTAAGTTTAGAATAACCTTAAAAATGATAAATTAATTTAAGTAGCTAGTCACACTGAAATAAAAAATATTGACAATGATTCTATATTTTGGTGTCTAATGGTGAGTTCAAAACTTGTACATTATAACAATTATTTTTTGTTTGAGAAATACATAACATAAAGAATGGTTTGTTTAAATTTAAAAATCATTTTTCAAATAATTGTTAATTTTGGAAACTTATATTTTTTTATATAAACATTAAAACTAAGCGTCTAAAACATTTTCCAAGATATTTCTCAAATCAAATAATAATTTTGAAAGGCATAGTATTTATTTATTATCAAAAATAAATCTTAAGAATCATGTACAAACTAAATATATCTTTTTTAAAATTTTAATCAAATTTATTTAACTTAATATTTTGTTATTTTAAAATAAGAATAGATTCAAGGCTTAAAAAAAAAAAAAAAGCTCTTATACTATTGTTGCATTTAAATAAATCTCTCAACTTTTATTTTTCACTATTTAAACCTTTCTAGGACATGTGAATGCAATGATTTGGCAAAAAAAAAAAGTGCATAAGGAAAAAAATATACACATGAAAAAAAATTTGTAAAAAAAGAAAATTTTAAAAAAAAGTGATCAAATGAAAATTTTTATTAATTGGTACCATAAGAAATAATTATTAAAAAGAAACTAACAACATATAAAATTAATAAAATAAAAATGAAATTTATTTTATGATCTTAATGTTTAATAAGTTTTAGCTCAAAATTAAAGTCATTATCATATGTACATTTTTTTTTAAATGGAGAACATTTTCATTAAACTAATAGGTTGATATGCTCAGCCAAGGCAACATCCCAAATAATAAGGGAATTTTTCTCCACCTAGTACAAAGTATCATTCAAACTAAGTGTTTATTTCATTAGTTTATGTGTAGGTTTATTACCCTTTGCCTTATAAGAACAGCTTTAAAATCATGAAAGCTAGTTCTCATTAGTCTCACCTTTATTACTAGATTTTCAACAATAGAAAGGTTTGGTATCATTGAGTTTCTTTGGTTTATGATATTAGGTGTACTTACTTCTATGATGATAGATCTAAATCCCATATCTTTAGCCATTTCCATTACCTTGATCGCTGCCTAAACCTCTCCAACTAGCAGATTTCAAACACTCTTAACAATAGTTGAACATGCTCCAAGTAGGGCTAAGTAAAACAAAATTTTGAGAAAATTAAAAAATCGACTTGAATTGAAGAGTTAGGATTGATTCGTTTTTTAAATAATTCAGTTTAAATTTGAATAGATGATATCATTAAAATTACATAAATTTGGATTAATCTCTTTTTTCGATTGAATTTTGAAAAAAAACTAAATTATAAAAACCCAAAAAATTAAGATTGCAAACTAGGTAATAATCCATATGTCAAATTGAAAGCCCAACTTAAAACATTTAGCCTACTTGCCTAACACCTACTGTAAAGCCTAAAAATTCACTAACTTCTTTTAAATTAAAAAAAAAAACCCATTCTAAAACCTAATTTATTAACTCTTTCTATCGACACAAATATTTTAGCCCTAAGTTTCACTATTCCTTGGTCTTTTGCTCTTTTATAACGTTGATCCTTCTATAGCCATTCATCATATTTTTTAAACTATGTTGCTAACATTCAACACTTGCTCTTCAACTTCAACTCCAAGCTTTATTTTTTTAGTTTAAACATTAAACCATGTTGTCCTCTTCAACCTTCAAGAGTCGTGCTCATAGAATCAGAGTTCTTTTTATTCCTACATTTTAGATCTAAGAAACAATACAGATTTTCAAGGTAAGTCAATTTTTTGTATTTATAGAATTTAGGTATAGTCACATTGAAGCAATTGTCAATAAAATAGGATTAGGTATAACTGATAATTTCTCTTTAATTTATGTTAGTTATTTTGGTAAATTATATTAATTAGATAATCTTTCCTTTTTAAACTCGATTTGTTTAAAAATATTTATATTGGTTTTAGTTATAAAGAATTGTGTGTAATAATTTGAGTAAATAAGGTTTTTTTTTATTTTTATCTTCTAGCTTGGGTTATACTTAAAAGTTAACATTATTAAAGAAAAATTAGACTCAATCCAAAAACAAAGGTTGTAGGTTAATCTATTATTATAATATTGGTCTTCATTCTCAAGACATAAAAAATTCTTACCATCTTATAATAGAAACAAAAGATGAAATTATATTTTAATTAGCATTTTTTTTTTATCTTGGATTGTGTTGTATCATGTAACTTTATAACTTTTAAGTACTATTATCCTTATTACAAATAAAGGGTGTTGATTAAACATTTAACGAAAGTATGAAACTTTTTTCTTCTTTTTGGGGTGACATGTAACTCATATTATATTCATAACTGTTAATATGTCTCATTATACATAGGATAATCAAACCCTCTTCAACCCAAATTTCATAAATTTTACTTAAAAAATTTTCTGCTTAAATTAGCTTTATGCCAATGAAACCATGAATCCCTAATCCATGGTGTTGTTTGCTTTGCTATTATTGAATACTACAACACAAGCTCCATAATGTCCTAAAATATTAATTATATAATAAGTAACTTCTTAATTTAGCCCTTAGAAAAGTAAATTTGGGGATAAATATCATAAATTTAGTATTTTATTTTTCTTTGTTAGATAACCTATTCAAAATAATAAAATTATTTGGAATGTTGTAGTTATATTTTTTAGATAATTATTTTATTTTGAACTGGCTTAATAGTAGCTTAGTGCTAGTAGGTTGATATAGTTTGGCTCACATGGAATGGAACCTATTTGGTGACTTGGTGTAATTGTTAATACTTATTGCATCAAGTTTTACTATCTTGTTTAGAAATTTTTAATTTATAGTGTTACAAGA